TGCTCTTGGGAAAAATACATTTCAGATTATCATATCCATGGTATATGAACTTTTGGTAGCTAATGTGTTTTGCGATGAATAAAAATATTTGTAGCCAATTTAATAGCAATAAATTTTCATACTGCATGAAAAGGCAAGCTAATTCAGTTGTTGCATATATTCTGGGGTCACTGCACCCTTGTTTGTTTGAAGTATTTGTGACCAGATTCAATGAAGTGGCTGTTTGCTGCTGTGTAAATGTTTCTGCCACTATTGATGGTCTTCAGGTGTGCCTCAAACTGCTGAGCAAACAGTCAGCAACCATTCCCGGAAAAGGAATGTTGGAAAGGCTTTCAAGCTGCATTCTGGCTTGGTATTTTTTTTAGCAAAGTCCAAATAGGTGAAGATTTCAGATGACAGAGCACTTGATCCTTCCTAAGCCTGTGAAGAATGGCTGAGGGAGCTAGGTCTGTTTAGCTTGGAGAAAAGAAGGCTGAGAAGGGGATATGATAGCCACAACTATTAGAAAGGATGTCACAGTGAGGAGGGGAAAAGCCTGTTTTTGATGCTCTATATCACACGTGTCAAATGCAAGGCCCACGAGACGAATCCGGCTCGCCACATCATTTTATGTGACCCATAAGGCTTTCAATGCTAGGGCAACATAGTTGCATTTATATACTTAAAATTACAATCAGCCCTTTGAAGGCAACCATAAGGCTCTTGTGACCCTCAGTGAAAATGAGATTGATACCCCTGCTCTAGAGACTAGAACTCGGAGAAATGAATGATTGTTAAAAAAAAAAAAAAAAGAATTGCCATCTAAACACTTGGAAGAACTTCCTGACGGTAAGAGTTGTTTGGCAGTGGAATATGCTGTTCAGAGTGTGCCTAAATCTCGAGTTTTTAAAGCAGAGTCTAATGGCTATCTGTTGTGGGTGCTTTGATTGTATTTTACTGCATGGCAGGGGGTAGACTGGATGGCCTTTGTGGTCTCTTTCAACTCTATGATTCCGTGAAGATAATGCCTAGGTAATATTAAATAACAGACAGCATATCCCCTTTACAGGGCTTAGGTGAATCTAGCATACATTTTGTAGGTTATTCCTGCTCCCAGTATATTCCCTTAGCTCTAGATGGTGAGACCAATTGAAACTGAGCCAAGCAAACAACACTGTATTTTCGAAATCAGAAATATATTTTTTGTTTGAATCAAATACTTGAAGATTATATATATGAGTTAATTTTATCATAGCTAATGCAGAGTGGCTTGATCTCTGTAGGTGACCTCCTAAATACAACAGATCGCTTGTTTGTCATGTCAACTTTTACAGAATGGTGTTTTGTAACCATTGTATCTGCAAGTGGTATGTTGGTTTTGAGCTATGTATGGGTTTCTTTCCAACTCTTATATATTTATGATCCTCCATATTCACAGATTCTATATCCATGGATGGATGGGTGGATGGATATATATATGTGTGTGTGTATGCGTGTGTGTGTATGTATATATGGATGGAATAAAATTGCATGATGGTGTACTGCAGCCTCCTTACAACCTGTTTAGGATTACTGACTTGGTGGGACTTGATTTCAATATAACCTTTTAACTCCCCCAAACAATAATCTGCTGTGCCTTGGGAGCTTTCCCAAAACTAAATTCATATTAACATCCCTTTCAATTTGATGTATAAAAGCAAGAAAGGAAAACTAGCTGATTAAGGTGTGATGAATGATGTCACTGATGTTCAACATATGGTGTTGGTAACATTTCAGACACATCTCCTTGTCTTGGTGTTATAGACAGCTTCTCTTTGTGTGGTCTGGTTCTCTGTGCTTGTATCTGGCATGCAAGGTGTTAACTCTAGCTCTGTGAGCCCTGAGCTGAGAGCGAAGAAGGAGCCCAGATACTGGCTGCTGGTGTTGCTGAGGAGAGGCAGGGGTGAACTGAATCTGTGACTGGCTCTCTGTGCAGCATCAGCTGGCTGCTTGCTGCACATCAGCGAGCAATGATTTTGGTAAAGCTAAGAGCCCTTTAGATTCAACAGTGGAGCTTGTATTGCGTACACACAGTAGCAACCAATAAACCAGGTTCTCATTCTTGTAACAGGCAGACTAAATTTTATTAACGTCTTGTTGATATTTCCTCCTCTTAAAATCAGAGGAGTGATTATGTCAAGTGAACTAACAATGAATAGATTGAAAAAGTTGAGCTCGAGCTCGGAGCCTGCAACACTGAGTAAGGTTCAGGAGGAGGTTGGTTGAGGACATATCCTGGAGCTAGCTGTTTGCAGGTACAGTACCTTTAGGAAATCCTCCCCCCTCCACCATCATCATTAGTCCCAGCTAGATTGAATGTTGAAACTACTGCTTTTTTTCTAATCCCAGGTAGAGAGCCATCCCATTTAAAGGGGACAGGAAAAGCTGTAGATTAGAGGCAGAAATTGGACCAATTATATTTCGGGACTTCTTGCTTGTAAAGGAATATTATTTAAGAAATGAAAAGGGTCAGCAACATTGAGACAGCTGAGCTGGACACATAAAATTCTTTACCCTGAAGATAGGAAGCTGCTTTGGTATTGGGTCTGACCACTGTACAGTCTAGCTAAGTACAGTGAGCCCTTGAAATTTGCTTGGATTTGGTTCCCAGACCCCCTGTGAATACCAAAATCTGTGGATGCTTAAGTCTTGTTATGTACAATGTGGTCCCTTTGATAAAATGACAAAATCAAGGTTTGCTTTTGAGGGTTTTGTGGGGTGATGGGGATATTTTTAAGTTGTGGATGGTTTAATCCATGGATGCAGAATCTCTGAATATAGAATGCTGATGAATGTGTTTACTGATTGACAGCAGTCTTTTGGGAGGTTTTAGATTTTTCCCCATGATATTTGGAGATGTTAAAACAGAACACAGAGTTATTTGTTTGGCAATGCAACTCCCAGGAATCCCACCACTCAACATGTTCACTGAATTGTGGGTGCTGTAAATGTCTGTCACTTTTTCCATATGAATTTTCATCACTATTATCTTTCCACTCATAGATAACTTTCCCACCTCAGGTCTCTAGTTCTCAGTCATCACTACATCAATACAAGGCTCCATAGGGAGATAACTGAACCAGCCTTCCCATTACCTTGCTGGCTGTGGTTTTTAGGAGTTGCAGTCCAACATCATCAGTTTGCATCAGGACACCATGAGGTTGAGAAAGACTGTTTTGAAACATCTTGAATAACATTATACTCTGAATTATTCACACAACAGAAGAAAGGGAAGTACTACTTCACACAGCTCATAATGTTGAAAGGTATAGCTATGGCTGCTGACTTGGATCACTTTAAAAGAGCATTGCATACATTCATGGAGGATGGGGCCGTTAGATGCTATGAGTCAGAATGCTATATGTTGTCATGTCTACAGTAGCAGAGGCAGTATCCTTCTCTATTTCTTGGAAAATGTGAAATGAAAGGTGCAACAGTATTACCCATATTTACTCAAATCTAATATGCCATAATATCTAATATGCATCTCAATTTTCAAAACTGAAACCCCAAAAAGTATTTACCATATTATGTGAATCCAATGCATATCTTAATTTTGGGAAGGTGATTTAGTCAAAAAAGTTGAGCATTAGAATTGAGTAAATACGGTAATGTCTTGTTGACAGGCTTCATATAGGCAACTTGTGGCCTCAGTCTGAACATAAAATTGCTCTAAATAGGTCTTTGGTTTGATCCATCAGAGTTCTTTTTGTGCTTTCATGTCATAAGTAATTTTACATCATCATGCTCATCATTCATGTTACTCATAATTAACTTTTTCCATAGTTTACTATGCATGCCATAGCTTTTGTACTTATTTTGCATAGCACTTGGCATATCTACTGACTCCTGCAAATATTGCCATCAGTACCCACACTATTAGAAGACCTGTGGAACATTTATCTTTCATTTATATCATAGAAATGAGGCCACAGTAATTTCAATTACCAAAAAATACCCCTGATTTCCAAGTATTTCTTAGTAGATGGATTTTCTAATTATTAGACCTGGTAATCTTTTGCTTTCCATAATGTTTCTGCTGATCATGATAGTCAGCATGGTAGAGTGGTTTGAATGTTGAAGTTAGACTCTGGGAAACCAAGGTTATATCCCCACTTGGCTACGGAAACTCATTGTGCATCCCTGAGAAAATCATACTCTTCCAGCCTCAGAGGATGAATAAATGAAGGTGTATGCCCTGCTGCTCTAAAAATAACACTATGTAACATGATTTTTGTTCCTGGGTTATAAATGTAATTTCCTAATTAGTTCTGTCATAAAAACATGGAAAAGGTTTATTAAATTGCAAAAACTTTGTTTTTTCAGGACATCTTGAAGCACATTTTTCTATAATTTTTCAATAAATATCTCATTGAGTCTCAACCAATTTAACATAGTTTGTGGCAGCCACAAAAAGATGTTTCTGGAATATAACAACTACATTCAAAGTTTGTACAGCACAATTAAACAGGAATGACACTTTCAAAGCAGGAACAGAGATTTTTTTTTCAATTTTTTTAATTTGATAAAGGAAAAATGTGTTTCCTGATACCTGAATAGTCCTGAAATGTAGAACTTAAAATGAGGAATATGTTTCAAAATAATTTATGTCCTGCCTCATTGTATTTTTGTGGAGTAGTTGTTTTTCCTTGGTTCAAAAAACACTTGAGGGATATTCAGACCAGCAATAAAATTTGGCGTTTTATTTCTGTGCAAAGGAAGCCATTATATTGTTGAAGGCTTTCACTGGAAATTACACCCACTAACTTACTTTCTCCTTGAAATCTGATTCTCATTACATTTATCTGGAAGTAAATGTCATCCAAATCCATATAGCAGGCAATATTCGTTACTGCCCATGCCATTATGTTTTTGGTGTTAACTTCCTTCATTAATAAAATGCTTTATTTGAGTAATACCTAGCCTTCTGTATGTTCAGAATTTATAGCACTGGCTTAAAGTATGTTTGAATTATTTTTCAGGGAGATCTAGAAAACAAACCAGTAAATGGCTGCAGAGCAGATCTCATGGAATATGTTGCATACAGCCACATCGAAAAACACAAGGTGAAAACAACCCAGTCACTGCTCTGGGAAAATGTGCAGACAAGTGAAAAGGAAAGTATGACTGGCTTAGAAACTGAGAAGTGGGCACACACTGAAAAGCCACTACTTAGTGTCCATGCAAATGGTGATCTCTGCAGAACTGGAACAAGGGATGAGAACTCAAAACACAATGACAAGAATGCAAAGGCGGTTTATTCTTCCAATGTATTAGATGAACCCAAAAAATTACTTGCACAAACTGCTAGAAATGGCATTAAAAACATACCTTACTCACCAGCAGAATGTGACGTGTTACAGAAAAAAGCAGATGTGGGTGTAAGAGTGAATCTGGCAAACAGCTGCAAAGAAAGCCACTCAGGTGCCTCTTGGAGTGGCTCTTCTGCATTGAACAATGACAGCACTTTGCCAACTGGAACGTGTGGTGCTTTTCCAGAAAAGAAGGATCATGTTCTGGTGCAACAGCCAGAAAGCTCTAACATTGTTCAGGAATCTGAGAACTCACTTTTACAAACCATTTCACTTCTAGATCTGCAGGACAAGCCACTTTGCACTCCCATGATTGAAAAATGTGGCTTCCTTGGTGATGGTGCTTTAAATATTCCAAGAAAAGATTCCCAACCGGAAGATTTGTCACTTCAATCAACTTTTTTATCTCTTATTAAAAACCGAAATTTAACTGTGGAACAGGTGGTTGCGATTGAGGCATTAACACGCTTGTCAGAAGCTCCTTTAAAGACATCTTCACCAGGTAAAACTGAAAGAGTTCAGTGTACAGAGCAACAAATCTCACATTCACTAAACAGTTTCAGGAAGGATAATTCATATTCCTTGACGGCCTCTGCATTGAAAGCAATTAAAGGGGCTTCCTCACAAAAAGACCAGCAGCTCTTTTCTCATGTTCCTTCCCAGAGAAGAGTTCTTCCTAAGAGTTTGCTTTACAATGGTCAAGGTGCTATTTCCGAGTTTTCCAGTAAATCTCCAGGTTCATCTAACTTATTGCGTCGATTACATTGCTCTGCATGGGATAGCAAATCTCTCTCTGCTTTAGTGGCGGGTGGAAATTCAGGCCATGCTACCAAGAAATATCCTCTCCAACATAAAGCTGCCATTGGGCCATGTTCCAAAAACACAAGTACTGTCAAACAGTGGAGGAACAAAGTTGAGATGCTTGGGAAATGGGAGGGAAAACCCGTTCATGGCTTAAACTCAAAAAGTAATTCTGTAATTAGGGGCAGCATTCATAGCCAGGATGAGAAGGAGGTAGCCACTCAGTTAACTCAACTGGCAGCAATAATTGAATCAAGCAAAACAAGCCCTGACCAAAAGGCATCCCTTTTCGGTCGAATACCATCCGATATGCAGTCAAAACATAAACAGGATCAGTGCCTATTGCAGAAGAAACAATCAGGGTTTGTAAGGAACAATTACAGCTCATTGTTAGTCAAGCAAAGGCAACCGACACGGAAAAATGATAAACCAGTACCAAGGGCAAAAAGGTTGAAAAAGAAGCCTCAGGTAATATCTGACCAACAAAATCAGCTGCAACAGGAATGCCAGCATAGTGAATTACAGGACATACAAAAAAAGCCTTCCAAACTACACAAACTTGGCCGGATTATGTCACAAGACTCAAAGTTAGCTGTTTTGGGGAAAAAACCAACCAAAGCCAAGATGCAAAAGCCAAGGAAGCGGAGTGTTTTACCAGCACAACAAAAAGCAGCTGCACTGTTTCTCCCCAAAACTCAGATTATATTCCACAGGCCTTTACCCGTCTTGATGCAAGATAAAATGAAAGACAAGGTGTTTGGCTGTGAAATAGTGCCTGAGAGCACCAAAGCAGCGACTTCTGGTGCTACTCAGGGCGCCAATACGCCAAGTGATGCCCTGCAACATAGTGGCCTACTCTCCGATAATCACCTGGCTGTTCCTTACTTAGACGCAAAGTCCTGTTTGAACCAAGGAAATGAAAACATACAGATGTTTACAGAAAATGACAAGGATTCTCAGGTACAGCAAACCATGAATATGGTTCAGATGCATCCATTGCCTCAGACCTTCAGCCAAGCAGGTGACATGTGCAAAGATGCAAAATTCCAGCAGCATGTGGAGAAGCAACAAGATCAGAATCTGCAACCAATTCCCATTAATTGTGGTGCTGTCTCTCCAGGGGATACCATAGAAGCACTCAGGAATGCTACATGTGTAAATAAAACTAAATTCCCAACAGGAAAAAACTTGGAAACTGAGAACCCAAAGGCTAAAGGGAACTCAGGATGTTCTCCAATGAAAAATACGCTCAGTAGTTTCCTTGAATCACCTATGAAGTTCTTGGACACTCCTACAAAGAATCTAATTGATACACCTACCAAGAAAGGGCAGGCAGATTTCCCATCATGTGATTGTGTTGGTAAGTAGACTTTTATTTATTTTTGCTTGGTATTGTTTCCTTATATAGGAATCCCTGGAAGAATATGTGTATGTCTGTGTGTTCAAGAAACAAGCTCTTACACACAAAAACATTACATCTTGATTCTTGTCTGCACTGCAGTCAAGAGTTTTATCTGCTTCCATTCCAGAGAATATTTCTCTGTCTGATTCTAGGTGCCTTTCAGGTGACTCCTTGAATGCTCTGATTTCTGAGTGTATCTTACTATTTCTTACTATTAACATTGCTTAATTTTAAGCTCATCTGATTCCTATGATTTGCCCAATGGAAGAAAATCCATAAAATTTAGTTGTAGAGCTGAAAAAATTGCCAAATGTCTAAAAATCTAACACTGATACTTAGACACAGGAGATATGTCTTCAGGTACATGTAGCAGAGCAGCTGTAACTTACTTCTTCCTCTTCTGCTAATGAGGGAGCAAAATATTTAGATTAGGTATTTTGTAAATACAGTTTCTAAGAATTTTTATAATCAGTATAGAGTAGATATTTTGCCTGGAGTGTCTCACTGTTCTCTTAGGTCAAAACTTGCCATTGAAAGCAACATTTTGTATGTTTATGGATGTTTTTGGTTCTTGTTTCTAAATTCTCTAAGGTCAATAGCAAAGGAAATTACGTTAATGGTGAATACATTCAGCATTAAAATGAAGTCTAATAGAATATTGCAAAATGTTTAAAAGAAGATGTAGTATATTTTGCTTTATAAAGGTCTACTAGTTAAGCAATTTCTGTACATAATTATTCCACAGTCTTTTTGGACATAGATACCTGTATTCAATCTCAGCTTGAATGTTAAGACACATTGAGGTACATTCGTTCTCTTAAAAAAACAAAAGGATGATGGTAACATGGCTGGTGTGATCTACTTCAGAACGAGGTCACACTCCTTGAAGTTGTTGGTCAAACTAATTGAAAACTGATACTGTACAAAAAAGGTGGTTTGACCTTCAGGTGACGAAGAATCCTCTTCTGTAAACAATACAAGAAAATTAGTTGAGCCAAGTGACTTGACTTCAGATATCTGTGCCATTAGGACATTCATAACATTTTAGTGGGGGTCCATATTTGTATGTTCATGAAGTGATTTTTAACCACTATCCTTTCTGCAGAACAAATTGTAGAGAAAGATGAAGGGCCGTATTACACACACCTTGGAACAGGACCAAGTATTGCTGCGGTCAGGGAGATAATGGAGAACAGGTGAGGAAATAAATGTTGGGTGAGTAAAAAACAAAATAGACAAAATAGGAATAGTGGTTATAATAACTGCAATTATTCAGATTGGCAATAGTTAGGTGGTTTTCCTTATGTTTACTCATGAAAGGCCCTTTTTTTGCTTCAGTATGCATATTTGAACTAGAGTATTTGTAAGCTACAGTAACTAGTTCAGCTGTCCCAACTCTGTCCTCAAAAGCAGAACAGAATACTTTAGCCTACCACTCACAAATAGTCATGGTTGGTGCCGGGTATTTGATGGGATGTGCCATAGTATGTGGGGCTCTGGGAAATTCATTTCTTTATTGTTAATTTCAAAGGCTGTATCCAAGACAGATGGTCCGACTTAGGAGGTAAATAAAAGGCAGTGGCCAATTGGAGGATTGGGCTAGAAGCCAGTGAGTCTGAAGGAAATTCACATACTACCCCGATGAAAAGAGATGCTTAGTGATTTCCTTCACAAGAACTGCAGGATGTGTGCTTCCTATTCATACCCAATTAATGCATGTGCTGTTACTTGGTGTTGAACACTCCATACTGCTAACTTAGACATGCCTGGGGAATGTTGTATGCATTGTATGCGGATATTGTGTATGCACAGCAGGATGTTTGACTGTTTTTCTTTGATCGGGTTTCTTTGAAGTGCTAGCCAGGCATGCTGTATTACAGTAAGCTTTCAAAATCCCCTCAGCTTCAATAGCAGCTTTGGTGGTAGTTGAGTATTGCTGTGTCCCAAAGTTAATGGAGCAATTCGTGCAATTTCTGATGTTTGATGCCATTCATCAGTAATTTTAATTTCAGTATATAGTGTATATTTTATTATATATGGACAGTGATGTGTAAACCAAACTTGTAATAAAATTTATAATAAATTTGAGTAATTTCTGGTCTTTGAGTTTAACAGTAAATAGATTATCAAATTTCTCTTCATTGGGAAAAAAAATCAGGGACAGATCTCTCTTTTTTCAAGTACAGTACAAACCACATATCCGTGAGACCAGTATCCATGGTTTCATTTACTGACATCTGATAAAATGTCTTCCCTAGGCATTTTATAAGTCATCCAGCATGACTCTATGGCAGAAGTTGGGGGCCAATATTAAGAACCAATTTGGGCAACTCCTCCCCCCCCCCCTTCCTACATTCTCTATCCTGACTGGCTGCAACTTTTTATGTGACCAGTAGTTCACCCTGCCCCTCTATCTGCCCCCTCCCACCCTTCACAGAATAAGTGGGCCACATTTTGTATTGCCTTTCCAAAGTACTTCAGTTTTTAATGCAAGATCTAGAAACCACCAAACACTGATACCGTTATTTGGGCCACACTGAAGTTACTTGGCTACTAACTTCCCAGTTTTCAGTTGTGAAATGTTGGGTGCTGTAATGTTACAAGTGATTGAGCTTGCATATGCTCATGTGGCCTGCCCTCAGGTGTCATGGAGGACCCTTCCCATCCCTTGTTAATGCCTAAGTCAACCTCCTATATACATTGCCATGTTTTTCTTCACCCGAGGTAGTGAAATATTTTGGCCTGACTCATGCTGGCCTGAGTCGGAAAATTGTATTCCAGACATGATTTGTTCCATTCCTCATTAGTTTTTTTGTGTGTGTATGTATTTTCTCTGTCTTTATGTAGGCCTTTCTATAAACACACCATATGACTAAATTGTAATCTACGTTAAAGCTTTTTAAATTTAGTTGATATGTGGCTTCATCCAGATGTATATCAAGGAGTCATTGCATTCTTATTAGCATGACCAGTTGTGGAATTTTCATTTATCTTTATTCATGCATTTGATGTCACTCTGTATCTAACTGTTCTATTGCTCCTGAAAAGGTCGTTTTGCCATTCAGATTTCTGCTGCTGAACACAAGCAGCCCTCCTCTCTCTTCCTCTCCCAACAGCACCTTTATCTTTGCACTCTGGCATTGGGGGAAAGGGGGCCCAGGTTGGGTTACCTCCTGCCTTTGCTTTTGAGTGCACTTTCCCAGTCCTCACACTTTGAGGATTAAGAAGGTGCACTCAAAGTTGAGCCCAGCAAAGGAGGAGACAGTGCAATGAGGTGGGGTGCACTGTCCTTCCACTGGGCTCTTTCTCCAGCAACTACTGCAGCCACTGCCTCCTTCAGCTCTCCCCTCTCTGCTTCCCTCTCTGGGCTCTGTGGGAGGAAGGGAGGGAAGCGGCAGAAGTATGCTGCAGAAGTTGCTGCTATGGCAGCAAGGAGCCCATTGCAATCATGCCCCGCTGTCCCCACATTGGCAAAGGGTGGCCCACACTGCTGCTCATCTCCCAAAGTGCTGGACTACCCACCACAGCCCCTCTTCCTGTGGTGACATCAATAGTGCACAGTCTCCATACCCCATCTCTGAACTTACATCGCAGGCTCTGTTCTGGTACTTCCTGCCTATTCGCCCATCTGCTTCCTTGTGGGAGAGAGACAAGGCGAAAGTGGCTCAATATTTTGGCTCAAAATTGCCTAAAACCTTTCTTTAATTAAAAAAATTAATTGGGGGGGGGGATCTGGAAGGTGAGGGAGAGTCTACACAGCTAGTAGGCTATGCTTTGCTAGCCTCCAGCTTACATGTTCTAAGAAGGCTTTAGTCTTTTTTGTAACATATAACCTCATTGTCACCTATTTAGTTATGCGTTATCATAAATGTACGTTTCACTTGAAATAGAATACATTACCACCAAAAAAATACTCCGTCCTGTGTATCACAGATTCAAGCATCTATGGCTTTTAAATGTCCCCCCCCCCCCTATAAAAATTCCAAAAGTAAATATTGGATTTTGTATTATTTAAGGGAAACCATTTTACCAAGCTGTTATTTATTATGGGACTTCACCATCTACGGATTTTGGTATCCAGGAGCAGCTCTGCATCCAAACCCCGATGATACCAAGGGTCCACTGTACCAGGTGCTATAGGCTGTTTTTCAGGAAGGAACCCATAAAACCTCCTCTGAGTATTTATTATGTAAGAAAAACCTGAGATTCATGGGGTCATAAGTTAACAGGTGAATTGAATGAAGAATGAGAAAGATAGAATGAGTATACATTGGTATGTCTCCTGGAAACCCCAGAAACCTCCTAGAAAATAATATGTTATTGTGTCATATTACAGCACTCCACTCATTATGACAGATATGTTTTTTGGTTGACCCACAAATCTCAGACTTCGTTTTTCTGGAAGTTCAACACAGCAAGAGCTTGTCATATTTTGAAAACAATATATAGGCTTTTCTATTTTGTACTAATTTAGTGATTAACTCAGGTGGTAGGTGGAGTTTTAGCCATAAATACAGTTATATAAACCCAATTTTCCTAGTTTCTAACAGACCTCTGAGGATGCTTGCCATTGATACAGGCGAAACGTCAGGAGAGAATGCTTTTAGAACATGGCCATATAGCCCGAGAAGCCTGAGAAACCTACAACAACCCATAAATCCAGTTGCTAGTCCTAATTAAAGCAAATCCATTAAATCAGCCTAATCACCCTCTTTTTTAAGAATCTCCTTTTGTCTGCTCTCTCAGTTTTTTTAGCCTGTTCCTCAAGTTTGCTGGGGTATTTTTGTTTTAAAAATATTTCAGTTTTTTAGGGACATCATGGATTTCTTAATAAATGATGGTACTATTTATTTACTTTATTAATGAAAACTACATTAAGTAAACCTATTCTTAAAATAAAATGTTCACTTTCTGCTTTACTTTGTACAGGTATGGAGCAAAAGGAAGTGCTGTGAGAATTGAAGTAGTAGTATATACAGGCAGAGAAGGAAAAAGTTCACAGGGGTGTCCAATTGCCAAGTGGGTGAGTTTTTATTTTATTGAAATACATTTTTTACTTTCTTGAAGTTTAGTGTTTAAAAAGTGTTTCCATGGGTCACACAGGATTTTGCATGCATACATATGTATGTGTATATATATACATACACACTAATATTATAATTAAAATAAATAGAAATGGTTCCATAAGATGGTAAGCAATCAAATACATATAAAACATAATAATGTATAGTAAATTTGCATACTAGTTAAGCACTGATTAATATATGAAGTTAAATTAAGCAGCAGTGAGTTGTTGTTCATTCGTTCAGTCGTCTCCGACTCTTCGTGACCTCATGGACCAGCCCACGCCAGAGCTCCCTGTCGGCCGTTACCACCCCCAGCTCCCTCAAGGTCAGTCCAGTTACTTCAAGGATGCCATCCATCCATCTTGCCCTTGGTCGGCCCCTCTTCCTTTTGCCTTCCACTTTCCCCAGCATAATTGTCTTCTCTAGGCTTTCCTGTCTCCTCATGATGTGACCAAAGTACTTCAACTTTGTCTCTAGTATCTTTCCCTCCAATGAGCAGTCGGGCTTTATTTCCTGGAGGATGGACTGGTTGGATCTTCTCGCAGTCCAAGGCACTCTCAGAACTTTCCTCCAACACCACAGCTCAAAAGCATCGATCTTCCTTCGCTCAGCCTTCCCTAAGGTCCAGCTCTCACATCCGTAGGTGACTACAGGGAATACCATGGCTTTGACTAGGCAATGGATCTTTGTTGCCAGTCTGATGTCTCTACTCTTTACTATTTTATCGAGATGGACATTGCTCTCCTCCCAAGAAGTAAGCGTCTTCTGATTTCCTGGCCACAGTCTGCATCTGCAGTAATCTTTGCACCTAGAAATACAAAGTGTCACGGCCTCCACATTTTCTCCCTCTATTTTCCAGTTGTCAATCATTCTTGTTGCCATAATCTTGGTTTTTTTGACGTTTAGCTGCAACCCGGCTTTTGCGCTTTCTTCTTTCACCTTGATTAGAAGGCTCCTCAGCTCCTCCTCGCTTTCGGCCATCAGAGTGGTGTCATCTGCATATCTGAGGTTGTTAATGTTTCTTCCAGCAATTTTCACCCCAGCTGCATTCATCAAGCCCCGCACATCCCATGATGTGTTCTGCATACAAGTTAAAAAGGTTGGGTGAGAGGATGCAGCCTTGCCGTACGCCTTTCCCAATCTTGAACCAGTCTGTTGTTCCGTGGTCAGTTCTTACTGTTGCTACTTGGTCCTTGTACAGATTCCTCAGGAGAGAGACAAGGTGGCTTGGGATGCCCATCCCACTAAGAACTTGCCACAATTTATTATGATCTACACAGTCAAAGGCTTTAGAATAGTCAATGAAGCAGAAGTAGATGTTTTTCTGAAACTCCCTGCCTTTCTCCATTATCCAGCGGATATTGGCAATTTGGTCTCTCGTTCCTCTGCCTTTTCTAAACCCAGCTTGAACATCTGGCAACTCTCCTCCATGTATTGCTGGAGTCTTCCTTGCAGGATCTTGAGCATTACCTTACTGGCATGAGAAATAAGGGCCACTGTACGGAAGTTTGAGCAGTCTTTCGCATTTCCCTTTTTTGGTATGGGGATATAAGTTGATCTTTTCCAGTCTGATGGCCATTCTTGTGTTTTCCATATTTGCTGGCAAATGGCATGCATCACCTTGACAGCATCATCTTTTAAGATTTTAAACAGTTCAGCTGGGATCCCGTCGTCTCCTGCTGCCTTGTTGTTAGCAATGCTTCTTAAGGCCCATTCAACCTCACTCCTCAGGATGTCTGGTTCTAATTCATTCACCACACCGTCAAAACTATCCTCATATTATTATCCTTCCTATACAGATCTTCTGTATAGTCTCGCCACCTTCTCTTGATCTCTTCAGCTTCTGTTAGGTCCCTGCCATCTTTGTTTCTTATCATACCAATTTTTGCCTGAAATTTACCTCCAATGTTTCTAATTTTCTGGAAGAGGTCTCTTGTCCTTCCTATTTTGTTGTCTTCTTCCACTTCCATGCATTGCTTATTTAAAAATAGTTCCTTATCTCTTCTGGCTAACCTCTGGAATTGCGCATTTAACTGGGCATATCTCCCCTTATCCCTGTTTCCTTTTGCTTTCCTCCTTTCTTGGGCTACTTCCAGTGTCTCAGCAGACAACCATTTTGCCTTCTTGGTTTTCTTTTTCTTTGTGACGTACTTTGTTGCCGCCTCCTGAACAATGTCTCGGACTTCTGTCCATAGTTCTTCTGGGACTCTGTTTACTAAATCTAGTCCTTCAAATCTGTTCTTCACTTCCACTGTATATTCGCTAGGAATGTTAGTGAGATCATATCTAACTGGTCTGTGTATTTTCCCTGATCTCTTTAGTTTTATTCTAAATTGGCAATAAGAAGTTCGTGATCTGAGCTACAGTCAGCCCCAGGTCTTGTTTTCACGACTGGATGGATGTCCGCCACCTTTGGCTGCAAAGGATGTAGTCAATCTGATTTCGGTGTTGACCGTCTGGTGAGGTCCATGTGTAAAGCCGTCTTTTAGGTTGTGGGAAGAGAGTATTAGTTATACACAGCGAGTTTTCCTGGCAAAATTCTATCAGCCTGCGTCCCGCTTCATTTTGTTCTCCCAGACCATGCTTGCCTGTGATCCCAGTTGTCATTTGACTTCCCACCTTGGCATTCCAGTCTCCTGTAATGAAAATAATGTCTTTTTTTGGTGTATTATCCAGTAGGTCCTGCAGATCCTCATAGAACTGATCTACTTCTGCTTCTTCAGCAGCTGTGGTTGGGGCGTATATTTGGATCACTGTAATGTTGAAAGGCTTTCCTTGCACTCGAATTGAGATCATTCTGTCATTTTTTGGGTTGTATCCAAGCACCGCTTTAGCGAATTTCTTATTAATTATGAAGGCTACTCCATTTCTTCGATGTTCCTCTTGTCCGCAGTAGTAGATCTGGTGGTTGTCTGATGTGAAGTGGCCCATTCCAGTCCATTTCAGTTCGCTGACCCCCAGAATGTCTATCTTTAGTCTTGACATCTCACCAATAACAACATCCAATTTGCCCTGGCTCATAGATCTTACATTCCAGGTTCCTATGGTGTGTTGATCTTTAGAGCATCGGATTCGTCGTTCACCTCCAGTACCGTCGGCCGCTAGCCTTCCTTTCGGCTTTGAGCTAGCTGCGTCATCACATCTGGGGCTAGTTGAACTTATCCTCTGCTCCTCCCCAGTAGCATTTTGGCCATCTTCCGACCTGGGAGTCCCAGCTTCCAATGGCATACCGACATATCTCTGGTTGTACTGGTCCATTTAGTTTTCTTGGCAAGGATACTGGAGTGGTTTGCCATTGCCTTCCCCAGGGATCACGCTTGGTCTGACCTCTCTGCCACAACCGTCCCGTCTTGGGTGTCCCTTCACGGTTTCGCTCATGACATCATTGAGGTGCTCAAGCTCCAGCGCCCCGACAAGGCGGTGATCCTTTGCTGGAGAGCAGTGAGTACTCTACAACAAAAAGGGTGGTAAGATTCACAACAATTCACATTGGAGCATCCAGACAGGGAAAGCCCTTCAAAATTTGGAAGTTTCAAAGAGAACAGCCATCATCCCATCTGAGAACATCAGTAGAGGAAAGGGGAAGACTGAAATATACACGTTAGGGTGATTTACTTTGGAAAAAGACCTGCCTAGGAGGTAGAAGACAAGGAAAATCTAAAATTAGGGATGGGAGAAAAGAAAGCTGTGGGTCCTGATACCAAAGTCAATATGTGTGAAACTTCTTTATTCCCTTGTCATCTTACTTACTTTTGTGATATCTGGAAAGCAGTCCCTGAAGATATCACAGCCCCCTGCAGCATATTTTGAAGGTCCAATAGAAGCTTCTGGAGGGAAAGATACTTTTGGCTCTGTGGATGGAATAGATGGAACAGTTGAACCACTCATTCAGGAATGAAAAATTAAGGGTACAAATGTGGTACAAACCTAGCTTGACTACAGTATTTGCTCAGATTGTCTAAGTGTTTATGTAAATCACAGGTTAAACAAGAGCCAGCAGTGTGATGCAATAGCCAAAAAAGTCAGTGCATTCTAGGCTGCACCAACAGAATGATAGTGTAATTTGGACATCTACATCAGTAGTTCCCAAACTTTGGACCTCCAAGTGTTTTGGATTACAGCTTCTAATATTTGTGACTGTTGGCCAAGCTGGCTAGGGCTTCTGGAGCTGAACTCCAAAATACGCAGAAGACCAAGGAATCAGTCGAGGGTTGGTTAAAATATTTTTAAGCTAGTGTGTTCTTTTCAGCTTGTCACAATTAGTGGTTTGGCAGCTGCATTTTTAATCAGTTATGTCAGATAACTTTTTGAAGCCAAATGCATATGAAAGGCAGCTGGTCTGAAAATGACTGAAGTGTGAACAGCAGTGTACAGGGAGCAGCTCATGTACCAGCCTAATCTAGTAAAAGAAACACTTGATCACACCTACCATTTGCTTATATAGAAACATCAGTGTCTGCCCAAGACATTTAGGGCAAAGTGCAATCTTCCCCATCCCATGTACAGAATTCAGATGGACTGAGTAGTAATAGGAGAGCCCTCCAACATACTTGAGGAGTCCAGAAGAAGTTGTGAAGCAGAACAGAATAGTTGCGAAGCCCAGGAGAGTCAACTGACAAATTGCCATCACTGCCCTCCGCACAATCTGAAGCATCTACCTTATTCTGTCTCATGATAAAGCCTAGCAAAGAAACAAGATAATTTCACAGAGCACAACCTAGCCACAAATTTAGTCACTTGTAAGGAGAACAATCTGAGTAAACTATTACCACCAGCCAGCTGTGATAACCACATCACCTATCCAATAGGCCTGTTTGATCAAAAAAAAAATTGGTTCAAAACTCATTTTGGATGTAGGGGGCACCTGTGGTTCGATTCTAAAGTCAATTCCTATTTTCACAGAAAAAAAGTTCAAAACTTTATGAACTTTCCGAGACTTCCGAATCTTTAATAGTTT